AACATACTCATGTCCATCAAAGGCAAATTATCCTGGGACTCAAGGGGCATGATCTCTATCTCTCGCGACACATTCGGGTTCACGACTGAGGGGGACAGGACGTCGGATGAGGCGATGGCTGCGGCTAGGGCAGGCTGAAAATCTCGGATCGACGGAGACACTAAATCAACATCGATAGGCGTGGAAGCATCACTCGGAGGTACTACACCGGAAGTGGTGGACGGGATGCTCGAACTCGAAGGTACGACACCGGCAGCGCCGATGGGCGGGAAGCTCGAAGCCGAAGGTACAACACCGGCGGGACCGATGGACGGGAAGCTCGGAGCCGAAGGTACAACACCGGCGGGACCGATGGACGGGAAGCTGGAACTCGGACCGCATCCTGCACCCGATCCTGAAATCTGAGAAGGGGGAGGGGGGTTTTGCGCGAAAAGGCCAGTACCAACACCAGGCGGAGACGCTTGGCGGACAACGGGGGGAGGGACAACGGTAGAGGGGATTACATCACCGTCGCGGTACGAGGGAGGCAAGCGGGTGGCCGATAGAGAGCATCCGATATCCGAGTATGCGAAACTAAGCCGACCACCGAAAAGGTGCACACCCCTCTCATCCAACATTATCCTGTGCTTTTTCTGCGTGTGGTGCAGAGAGAACAAGTTGAACGAAATCCCTGGTACTACGTACACGTCTGTCAATTGGACACAGAAATCCGCTTCTCCCGATCGACCTCCTGCCATGTGAAATGCCAGATTGACACTACCTACGCACTCCACGCGCAAATAAGCACCATTGCCTACTTTGATGAATTCTTTGCCGGGGGGGACAGGCGAGATGTTGTACATCTTGGAGCTGTTACTCACAAAATGGTTGCTTGCACCGCTATCAGACCAAAATACCTCCCTACCAGGACTGTATTCGCAACTCTGTGCAGACAAAGCAAAGCCAAGATCATCACCACATGCAACACTGCTTACATCACTCGAAACCGAAAGCGAACTCATCTCGTCAGCGGACACAAAGTGTGCCATCAGGGAGTGGAGATGCCCAGGCGGATAGGTTGCTGCTCCGGGAGAGGGCGACTGGGGCGGGGCATGGGTGGAGTGCTGCTGCTGCTGCGGCTGAAACGACGGCGGTGGCGGAGGCTGCGATGGTGGCTGCTGCTGCTGGTAGTACGGTGTCGGAGGCGGGTAGTACGGCTGCTGCTGGTAGTAGTCTGGCGAAGGCTGCTGCTGCTGCTGCTGCTGCTCCCACCCGCCATACTCGGTACCATTCGCGGGCCCCCCGTAGGGCATAGTACTATACGCGTGCATCACATTAGCGTGCCCGTACGGAGGCCGCCAAGGCGGTTGTGGAGGACGAGGGGGCGCTGCATACCTGTGCTGATGCTGTCCTCCGTAGCCGCTGTGAGGTCCGTGCTGAGGCCCACCGCCCCAGCCCCCCCCACTGTAGCTCGGCTGCTGCGGCGGCGGTCCGTGAAGTTGCTGTTGCTGAGGCTGCTGTTGCTGAGGCTGCTGTTGCTGAGACTGCTGCTGTTGGGGTTGCTGTTGCTGAGACTGCTGCTGTTGGGGCTGCTGCTGCTCCTGCTCCTTCCGACGGTCGCGCTGGGTGTAGCACTGGGCGTTGGTGTGGAACAAGCGCGGATGTAGGTAGCAGTGGTCGTTGTCGGCTCCTCTCTCACCTCCGCCTTTCTTGTTTCCTCTCACCCTGCTCCTGCTCCGACTCCGGGCGCCTCCGTCTCCGTCCTGACCCCCGCCGTTTCCACTCGACCCATTTTGGACACGTCCATCGCCCCGGATGCCACCGGAAGCGACGAACGCGTGCCCCGCGCCATTCTTCGGTTCCCCCTCCCGACGGCGAACCGAGTCCGCATGAGCATCTCGCACAGCCTTTTCAATTGTCTCGCGCGAGGGGGGAATCGGTGACATGGTCAGAATCTTCTTCTCTACCGAGTACTCGTCGGAAAGGTGGTATACCATGTGGGCATTGGCATCATCGTCGGAGAAAACAACACCGTGCGAGGCGAGCCTACTGCGCAAAACAGCAAATCTCCCGAAGTACTCTTGCGGGGTCTCCCCTACTTTCATCTCAAGAGCGTGATATTGAGATGACAGCCTTTCTTTTTCGGCCCTGGCACGCGGCTCGTAATAATTGAGGAATATCTTCCAACCTCCACTAGGACTCCCATCGGCGATGATCTGGGTTAGGATTGGCATGTATGTCACTGTCGTGATCAGCAGGTTCCACGCCGTTATTGCCTTTTCTACCCGTCCACTCGAATGCACCCTACGCATCTCCTCCATGCTCACGCCTTCTTTCCCAACTGGAATTTTTTCTTCAGTCAGTACTACGTCACGCACTCCTTCCTGGGCAAACATAGCTACCATGTTCGATCGAAATATCAAAAACTTAGCCTGCTCATCCTCCCCTTGCTTGAAAACACCATCCCAAGGCGCTAGGCGCTTAGTCTCAGTCATTCGAACCGTCCCTGCGTTAATGGGTACTCTACCCATGTCCCCTGATGAGACGTGAAGTCGACCGGTGAGGGCGTCGGCGAGTGTGCGGGCGATTTCGTCGGTCGTCGGGTTGGCCGATGGCCGCCCCGCGTGTTGCTGGTGGCGATCCTCGTGCTCTCTTCCGGTCCGGACGTCATCTGTCCTCCGCTCCTCTGCTTCTTGCCTCGACATCTCGGCCAGTCTTGCTTCTACCCTCTGTTCGACCAAGTAGTTGATCCGGGCTTCCTCCTCTGCTAGTCGGGCGCTCACTCGATCTTGCTCGGTGTCGTTCATCGGTGGCTGCTGCTGATCGCCGCAAAGCGATACTCCAAACTAAGCTCGACTCGAATCTCGTAGACGACGTGTCATACGCTAGCGTGATCGATAATTCGGGTGGCTCAGTTGTGTGTGATGGGAGCGTAGAGCAGCTCGGCCATGACGGGCCGCACGGGTAGGTAAAGACGTGTAGACGTGGTGAAAAACGTGTTGTATTCATCGGGGGCGTGCTTGAGCTCGTCATTCCATCACGGCATCAAGTCACGCATAACGCTTTAATACCCAGAACGAATCTCCATGAATCTCCACCAATCTACTACACTCCCAAGGAAAACACAAAGAAACTTCTTGTCCCTCCGTAGTTCGTCACTGCAATCCCCGCATATGTATACGCAATATACCACCCCCATGCTATGCTACGAGTATATCGAATAGAATAGGCCACCATGTTTGGGAGACTCGATTGTCAAACGTGAAACCAGCGGTAGATTCATACAACACGGAACAGTGCACAGCCGCTCTGCTGCTTCCAGACACCATACTGCCTGGAGCGTCGTAGTCGCTGCACTAGTTTTTTACGAAGCTCCCACTCTACAGCAGAGAGTTAGAAAATCGGCTCAATTCCCGTAGTGTAGCAAGCAACCCGAACACGTTTGCAAGACCTGCTGACCATTCACACGCACGAAGTCCAACTCATAGCATACGAAGGCCATACAATGATTCATTTCACTACTACAGCATCCCGGAAGACCCCCGTTCACCGTCTCATCCCATGGACATCGTCTACCGGCGACATCGAGCTGTCGATACTTACATTACCGTCATGGCCGGGAGAGAATCAAATATCTCAACAGGCAGCGTCGTCAGATCGTTGTCGGACAGGTCCCTGCGGGTTCGTCAGGAGGATGAGAGAGATTCGAGAGGGAAAACAAAAGAGCAAGTGTCACCCGCGTCTGTCACTGCATTTCGGTCACGAGTGGACAGCTACAGTAGTTCCGGAGGCCCGATCGTCGAAAGTGAATCCTGTGGCGGACTCATGCAACTTGGAACAACGCACAGCCGATCTGCTTCCAGACATGCTGCCTGGAACATTTAAGTAGCTGCATCGTTTTGCACTCTCCAGGAAAAGGATAGAGAATCGGCTCATTCCCCACGGAGTGCAGTACCAAGTGAACCGAATCCATTTACACGATCTGGCTGTCCGCTATCCATCCACCCGAAGTCCAACTCATCGAGGACTTCGGGCGTGAAAACCATTGTTCGACGAGCTGGATAAGGGAGCTACACTGAGACACCTACGTTCATCGTCGTCTACCCCGATGGACATCTTCTACTTGCGACACCCGGCTGCATGATACGTACAGTTCCGTCAGGGCCGGGAGAGCACCGAATGTTCCAGCCGGCAGCGTCGTCAGGTCGTTGTTGTTAAGGCGCCTTCGGGTTTGTCGGTAGGTCCAAGAGGGGCGGCAAAGGAGCAAGTTTCACCCGCTTCTGCTATGGCATTTCGGTCACGAGTGGACTCCTACTGCAGTTTCGGAGGTTCGATCGTCGAAAGTGAATGCAGTGGCGGATCCATGCAACTTGGAATAGCGTATGGCTGATCTACTTCCATGCATGCTTCCTTAAGCATCCTACTGTAGTCACTGCATCGTTTTTCGCAACGGGCAAACTCTACAGCAGACGGTCGAAGAATCGGTTCATTCCCCACGGTGTACAGTAGAAAGTGAGTTAAATGCATCTACACGACGGCTATCCATCCACACGATGTCCAACTCATCGAAAGTGACGACCGTGAAAGTCGTCATTCAAGAATCTTACAATAATACAGAAGCTGATAAGAAGCACGATGACCACTAGACTACTGGTCAGCGCTGACCAGCAGTCTAGTGGTCATCATGCTTCTTACAAAAGGTAATAGGAAGGTTTGTTCGTCGAAGCAGATAGAATAAACTGGTGTTTATTTTGTAACAGTCGAATTAGAATTTGGCTTCATTTTCTACCGGAAACCCAGGGTCACGGTGTTTGGAATTATTAGTCTATAGTTGGGGGTGTCATTCCGTGATCGAGTCCACGCAGGGGCTGTAGCAAAGTCGGGTAACGTGTGACAGCTACATACAGAGCGCGTGAAGCAACGGAAGGACAGCAGCAGCCGCCTAACGCAGTAGCGGCGGCAGTTTAGAAAAGGACGGGACGGGACACGGCGCAAGCATTGGGGAAGTGACCAGCACGCGACTCTCCATATAAAGGTGTGTACTCGTGTCCAACATCCATCGTGTCGGCCGTGTTCCTATTCGCGTCCCGCTACTCTTGTGACCTCATCGCTGCGTGCATTTAGCACGAGGGGGGAGGGTGCAGTAAGATAAGCGGCGGCAAGCCACCGCAGTCTCGCTCGCCGCGCCGCTCAGATAGGTCCCTTCCCAAACATGGGATGCGGTTCATCCCAACCGAGACGTACTCTCGCTGAAGAAAAAAAATGCGGTTCGTCCCAACCGAGACGTACTCTCTCTGAAGAAAAAAATTCAACGGCAAAAAGAAAGAGCGGGGCCTGTTGTATGGTCGCACGCTGACTTGTCGCGGTTGATAGCAGCCATTGTACTGCACGGGGTGGAGGAACCCTGCGGCATCGGACATAACCAATCGACCCGCGGCAGTAGGGCATGATGCTGTCATGAGTATGCACATGAGGCAGGTGCCTTGTTTTCTGTTTTCCCCCGGCTTACTAGGGACTACTTGCCGGTACAATCTTGTCTGTGCCGCGCACAGAGGGGCATATAGCTGAAGGAATCGACGATAATATGCCCACTCACGTAAGCAATCGTCTCCACGGATGGTATTGACAAGTCCCCACTGATGGTATCGACAAGTCCCATGGCATACAAAGCGGCCGCATACGTAATCGGAAAGTGCATTCAACAGCATTCACGGGAACGGATAAAAGCAAAAACACATGCATGCGAGAGAAAGACTCAAAGAAAAAGACTGAAAAACAAAGAAGACGAGAAAAAAAAACGAGACAGCGAACTACGTGCTGTATGCATAAGGAAAAAGAAGATGAGAAAAAAATAGGGGGGGGAGGTGAAAGTGACACGCGAGGTTCGAACTCGCGAAGAACGTCAGGTAGCGGTCCATGTGAGTGCATCACGGTCTCGAGGGGCATCACGTCAAATTTATTGCCGCTGTGACACAAAACTTCTATAAGAATACGTCACGTCCATCGACGATTAAGCGACCAAAAACGCCCGGACAGCAATTGATGCATGCCAAAAACTCGTCAACCTGCCGTAGGATTGTCTATGCGGAAGTGATCTCAATGAAAAAAAAAAAACAAGGACACGCACCAGCACGGGACGCGCCAATAGTGGAAGCACTCGTCCGTGCTGTTGGCGAGTGGAAGTTAACCGATCTCAACGCAACGAAACACGAAGTCATACATGTATCAGCACGGGATGCGCCAATGAGTGGAAGCACCCGCGCTGTTGGCGAGTAGAGTTAACCGAATCCAACGCAGCGGTAGAAAAATACCACAAATCATGCATCAGTACGGGACGCGCCAATGAGTGGAAGCACCCGTGCTGCATATGTGATGTCAGCCTCAGCACGGGACGCGCCAATGAGTGGAAGCACTCGTGCTGTTGGTGAGTAGAGTTAACCGATCTCAAAAAGAAAGAACAAAACGCCGTACATGTATCAGCACGGGACGCGCCAATGAGTGGAAGCACCCGCGCTGTTGGTGAGTAGAGTTAACCGAATTCAACGCAGCGGTAGGAAATACCACAAATCATGCATCAGTACGGGACGCGCCAATGAGTGGAAGCACCCGTGCTGCATATGTGTTGTCAGCCTCAGCACGGGACGCGCCAACGAGTGGAAGCACTCGTGCTGTTGGCGAGTAGAGTTAACCGATCTCAAAAAGAAAGAACAAAACGCCGTACACGTATCAGCACGGGACGCGCCAATGAGTGGACGCACCCGTGCTGTTGGCGAGTAGAATTAACCGATCTCCACGCATCGAAAACGAAGTCGTACACGTATCAGTACGGGACGCGCCAATGAGTGGAAGCACCCGTGCTGCATATGTGTTGTCAGTTTCAGCAAGGGACGCGCCAATGAGTGCTGTTGGCGAGTAGAGTTAACCGATCTCAAAAAGAAAGAACAAAAACGCCGTACACGTATCAGCACGGGACGCGCCAATGAGTGGACGCACCCGTGCTGTTGGCGAGTAGAATTAACCGATCTCGCCACGCATCGAAAACGAAGTCATACACGTATCAGTACGGGACGCGCCAATGAGTGGAAGCACACGTGCT